AACCCCTCATCGATCAAGACATGGGGGAGGCCATTTTCATATAGATTGAGAGTTCATATATTCAGAAATACTATTCTTATAATTTGTTCTATCAGTTATCATACACATGCATCCACCATATATTTTATATATTCCTTAATGATAATAACATTTGTAAAAATTATATTATATATTGAATTAATATAATAAATAAATTTGATTTTGTATAGGCTTTAATTATTAAGGATTTGTTAGTTATTTTTAAAAATATAAATATTGGGCATATGTTCGTGAGCATCGCGCATAAAAAAGATTAATTGTATGTATAAGCCCCATATATATACATGATAAACCTCTTTAACTACTAAATATGCATAAATTTAACAAAATGATAAATTAGCTTAGATGGTAAGATATATGTTATTGTTTTAAATAGTAAAATATTTTGTTCTAAATTTTATTTTTTGACATTTTTTAATATTAATAATAATGAGATTATAACAAAATATTTCTTGTGAGATTTATTTCTTTTGTGTAATTTGCAAATTATTATACAAAATTTTTTAAATAGTGACTATAAATTTCTCTTGTTATTAAAAAGAAAAGAAATTCACCGACTTTTTGACATCTAGCTAAAATATTGTAGATTGATTCTTGGGGAATTAATGAACCAATAATTAACGTTAAAATTGGCAAACGATTCTCAGGACTTTAGGACCGTCGGCACACGTTTCTTCTTTGTATTAACAAAGGCTCCTTTTTTCCTCCCCATATATTCCCCAAGCTTTTAACTTCAAATCCATTTCGATTATTTTGATGAATGAATACTCTAATGCTATGTTACCAATTATTGTTGTTTTTTTTGTATGTATTCCCTCAACTCTTATTTTATATGCCTCTATATACAATTAATTTTTATCTTAATCAATTTTAAAATATCTATGATCCACAAAATCTTTAGAAGGATAGAATTACCCCATTTTGTATTCAAAACTCTCTAAATTTCGTTATAAAATATTTTTATGCCATTTTGTAATAAACTAAAAGTTTCATAATTAATAAAACAAACGTTTAACCTTCCCAAAAAAAAAAATTTAGAAATGTGTTTTCAATTTATGTTATTTCCGGTACCTTCTCTTTCTTCTATCGTGCTTCTCTTTGAGTCCTAAGACAAATCTGACCAGCAATGTGTTACTATCCAAAGATATGCACGGAGTAAACCCCGCTCATGTATAATAATCTGAAATCTTACAGAATAATAAGCGCACTAAAAAGACGACCTTGTGCGACATGTTCGACCACGAAGGTGTTAGCAGGAATCAGACTTATAACGTTCAGGTATTAGAATCCGACTTTGCCTACTTAATTAGTCATCCATTTAAGAACAAGGAATATTTTATTAAGCAACAAATAAGGTGGAAAGAACACTTAAAATTACCACTAACAATGGATCGGAGTAATGGTGAAGTACTTAATTAAGCTGAAAGAAAAATGGATTACGAAATACTTTTTTAATTAATAATTATTTCTTTATACTTTGGTGGAGGATTACTTTTTAACAACCCAAAAACCTGTGGTTTGGGAGTATCAGAAGGCAGTGCTGTTCATCTTATCAGGCCATTAAATTAAGGTAGAAATATATGAAGATCATATTTCTTGGTAAAGTTTGAAAAAGTGTTTAATAATAATAATAATAATAATAATAATAATAATAATAATAATAATAATAATAATAATAATAAAATAGGAGGATACATATAGATATTATATATAGATTATATAGTATAAACACACACACACACTCACTTTGGCCATGCCCTAAAATGGTGATTGAGTGTGGGTGGAGGTTGTTCTCCGGCCCTAACCCCCTCTTGATTACCATTAGGTTTCAAATAAAAATTATATACATCGTTGCTTAGGTAAAGATTTAGATGGAATTTTATCTGGCGCGACAAAATAATTATAAAAATTAAAAAGGAGGCAACTATGACTATCTCTGTCACCATGCAACGTAAAGGAAGAGGGTGGTAGCCATGGTGGCTGCCGCCATGAAGGGACCAACCATGGTAACTACCTCTTCTGTCACACGAAGAGGGAGATGCAACTTCCCTTTCAATAAAGAGTAGTAAGGGAATGCAACTATAATGATGGCCTCTTTTTTTATTTACTAATTATGACACTCCCTCATGAATTTTAAGATAGATACATTTTTAAATCTCAAACTCGAGACTTCTACTTATTTAATTTCAGTCACACTCTCCATTCATTGTATATATATTTGTATGGCAGATGCAAGTGGGACATTATATTCAACACAAGCTGACTCAATGTTCACACTAGAATCTCCTATTAATTGTGCCAAATTATATGGTCTAGCTAATTTTGTGGTCATTAGTAACTTTAGGGTTCAAGAAATCTTTTTTCTACGGTACTTTTCTCATTATGCTTATTTTATTATATTCCCTTTCACCTTCAAGAATATGTATTCGATTTTTTTTTAAAAAAAAAAAAAAAAACTTTTTTGATATATTTGATTAAATACGTGGAGGTAAATTTTGTATTTAAGCCCGACAATTATATTAAAATAAGTGTAATTTATTATTGAATTACATTAAAAACACTATATAGTAATTAAGAAGTGCCAAAATCATCTATAGAACTTTCAAAAGTACATGTGATAATTGGTGGTCATATTATTCAAATAATGAAATAATCCTTGAATACAATAATAATAGAAGAACTATCATATTTATAGAACTTTCAAAAATACAAATAATATAAAACAAAGAATTATATATAGTATAATTTTCAATATTTTCATCTCTAAAATGGGAAAAACATGGATATTTCAATCATAGAACAATTTTCTTTTTTTGGTCTAACTATAAATTTCTTAAACCAGAAACAATATACTAAAAGTAATCATGTTCATGTCAATGTGAACGTCAAGAACAACAAACCACACCCCATGTGCATCATAAAACAATTTTTTCATTATTAAGTTTTCACCCCAAACTCTTCGTCCCCATCTTCCCTCTAATAAAATCTAATCGCACATTATAGCTATCAACAAGAGGACTATTAAACTTACACCAAAAAGACTATTAAACTTATTTAAGATTAATTAACTAGCTAACCAGGACTATGTGGTCCAATGGTACCCGGGTTGGACTTCCACTTGGAAGGTTGTGAGTTCGAGCCTTAGTGGAGGCATTATTAGCTCTTTGTGTTTCAGTAGGTTGAGAAAGTATATGAACAGATACTACAATGTAATAGAGCTAGTAGCATTCAAAAAAAAAATTAACCAGCTAAAGTGAGTTAGCTCGGCCTAATGATACATGGGAAGTAGGGAACATAGAAAGCTGGGCAGGTGGTTTTGCTTAATCATATTGTATAGTAGGTTTAGAGCCACTAATTTCAGGGGGCCTTTCATGAAAACCTCCCCAACATTTAGGGACCATTTCCATATTTGGGAAGGTCACTTGGTACATCTGCCTTCCAATTGGCTTATCTCCCCATTATAATTAATTATCTCCTTCCTCTTTTGAAGACCTGCGGTATTCATTTTGGTTTTGGCCTTTAATTTCCTGCTGCTGCTACTCCAACTTGATCAAATATGCCCTCTTTTGCTTTTCACCAAAACAACCCCAAATTGCAATTAAACTATCTTTCTTCTTTTTTCCTTTTCTGGTTACAAATTCGATTATTGTCAACAGCCTTTCGGTCCAACTAGACAGCTAGCTTAGTTACACAGGGTCTTCTCAATGCAATTTACCGACTATTACACGAGAACAAAATTTTTAGTGCACACTCTTAGTGGTTTACATGGTCTTTCCAATGCGATTTGTCTAGTCTAGCACAGGGTCTTTTTAGTGTGATTTTTACTTAGTTTACGAGTTATTACACATTAGAGAAGTTTATAAGTATACACTCTCTGATAATGATTGCCAATAGCCCCTCAGTCGAGCAAGTCACACATGGTTTTAGGGGTGTGCATTCGGTTAACGGTTCCGTTTTAACCAAAAATTTTAAAGTTTTAACCGTTAACTGAACCGAACTTTGTATTACCGAATTAACTGAATAAAAAAAAATTCGGTTAATCTGTTAACACCGAAGTTTTTTTAGCTAAAATTTTAAATCCTTAAAATAGTACCTATAATAATAAATCCAACTACTTTATTACCTATAATAATAAATTCATAACTTATCCAAAATCCAAAGTCCAAACATCCATAGTCCAAATTTAATTTTAGTTTTAGGGATTTTACATTTTATATTTATTTACTTATTTATATATTTAATTTTTTGGTTAAATGTTCGATTAATTCAGTTAACTGATAGTTTCAAACCGAATTAACCGTTAACCAAAAATTTTCAAACCTCTAACCAGTAACCGAACCAAAGCATTTCGATTAAAAAACAACTAACTAACTGAAATTCTTCGGTTCAGTCGGTTAACCGAACTTTCACCGAAGTTTGCACACCCCTACATAGTTTTTCATTGAAATGTACCTAGTTCGCATAGTATTACATATAAGTAAAATTTATTAATACATTCTCTTATATTGTGATTTGTCAATAGCCTCTCGATCGAGTCAATTGCATTGAACCTTTTCAGTGCAATTTACCTAGCTTGCAAGTTATTAAATAGAAACGAAATTTATTCGTATACACTCTCAATTCTCAAATAATGTTTACAAATTTTTCTTCTCACTAGACAATATACGACAACAATTTACATCAAAGTAGGGCGTGTACTTAGTAGGAAGGAAAATTAAATGGGAAAATGATAGGATGCCTCCCAATAGGCAAAATAAAAGTTATATATGGTGGGGTGTGGGGACAGTATTCGTGGTGAAGCCGTGGAGCCTCTCCAGGATGCTGTGTGTGGGGCCCACACTCCCCCTAGGGCCCCACATCGGGAAGTTAGAAAGGAAAGAGGGTATTATTTTCCTATTTTCCTTTTCCTCGTCAGTTAGTGTCCGGTTTACAACTATAAAATCAACCAAACAACCTCGTCTCTCTCCCACCATCTCTCTCTCTCTCTCTCTCTCCCTGTCTTTAACACCCAAAATCTCTGTGTCTTTGGCGAAGCATTTAGAAGCAAGCCTATTGGGTATTACAGTTTGCTTCTTTTTGTATCGGGAAATAGAACAAAACCCCATTTTCTCAGTCCTTTTTGGGGGAACAGAGCATTCTGTTTCGTTTACTTTCTTGAACGCCGGAGTTGTCTGTTTACGAGGTTTTGATCTTTTTTTTTTTTTTTATGTTTTCTCGAATTTTGTTTCGTGGAGGAAGAGAGAGAGAGATTGTTTGGACGACTGTAAAATGTTTTGTTTGACGGTTTTTTTCAGGTTGGCAGAGGAAAAAATGACGCGGCACAATGTGGTGGCGGTGTCCGACCCCAACCGGTTCCCGACGGCGGGGCATAAGCCGCCGGTCGTCCCCGGCGGGTACATCAACTTCGATGTTACTTCCGGCAAGGAGCTCCTCCAGAACCTCGACGTCAATGGCGCCGCCGCCAAGGTCAGCTCGTGGGTTGACTCAATGAGAGCTTCTTCTCCCACTCAAAAATCCACCCCTCTTTCCGACGACCACCGCACTTGGATGGTAAGTAATTTCGCCCACACGAGTAACTCAGTTAGTTTCTAAAAACGAATTCTGGGTAAGGATCAGAATTAAATATTAACCGTTATAGTGTAAAAACAATTCTGGGTAAGGATCAGAATTAAATATTAACAGTTATAGTGTGACAGTTTCACCTTATAATGAGCAACTCATACTAAATATGACTTATTTTTTTATATCCTGTCGGACCAGGGTGTGGGACCCTTGGAGAGTAGGGTTTCTAAACCTCTGTCTCCGAACCAAATTCCGGTGGCCGGTAAATGGGAAAGTACTAAAATGACCCTGTGCATGTATGATGAAACAGATGCAGCATCCTTCGGCTCTGGACATGTTTGAGCAGATCATCAAGGCTTCAAAGGGAAAAAACATTGTGATGTTTCTCGACTACGACGGCACCCTCTCTCCGATCGTGGACGACCCGGATTCCGCCTTCATGTCCGATCCGATGAGAGCGACGGTGAGAAAGCTGGCCACGTATTTCCCCACCGCCATCGTCAGCGGCCGTTGCACAGACAAAGTATACAGCTTCGTACGCCTGGCGGAGCTCTACTACGCCGGCAGCCACGGCATGGACATTAAAGGCCCTTCAAGAGGCTCCAAATACAAGAAAGTCAGTACTAAATTCAAACCATAATATCCGGTCCTCTTTTTCTGGGAATCATCTTTCTCATAATAATAATAATGCTTTAATTTGTTTCTTCTAATGAATAGGGTGCCGAGGAGGATGTTCTTTTCCAACCAGCCAGCGAGTTTCTTCCGATGATCGACGAGGTTTACAAAACCCTCCTGGAACAAACCAGTTCCACTCCCGGCGTTAAGGTGGAGAACAACAAATTCTGCGTCTCCGTTCACTTTCGCTGCGTTGATGAACTGGTAAAAAATACACTCTACATTTATCATTAACACAAAACTTATAAATTTCTGAAAAACCCCGCCATGTTGGTTAGTCTGTTGGTTTAGTAATTATAAGATTACAAATTTGACTCTTAGTAACAACAGTCTATTGACCTTCTTGGTTTGTCATTCAGCTATGGATAATCTAAACAGATTAGTCCTATGCTTGGCTAGGGTCACTAGGTGAAATTTATCCAGTATGCACCATCTTAGTGACGGATCCAAGTGTTTTCAGACAACCTAAACTGGTTTACGTTTATCTCTATGTGGTCTTATATTGATTAGGGTTACCAACAAGTATGTAGTGATTGCGGGTTTTTCTTCCCTCCAAAAAAATTGATGAATTTAGTGTAGTGTTCTGATGATGTTTTGTGATGCACGTTGCAGAAATGGGGGGAGTTGGCTCAGCAAGTGCGGTCTGTGCTCAAAGAATATCCTAAACTTCGATTAACCCAAGGACGAAAAGTGTTGGAGATTCGTCCCATCATTGAATGGGACAAAGGGAAGGCTCTTGAGTTCTTGCTTGAATCCCTCGGTAAGTCATCGGTCCAATTAAAAGTAGTGTTTTGCAAAATCCTTCAACGTTGTCCAGATCCTAAACTTGGGTAGTGTTTGTTTGAATCTTGTTTTTTCAGGCTACGCTAACTCCACCGATGTTTTTCCGGTGTACATCGGAGATGACAGAACCGACGAGGATGCGTTTAAGGTATGTACTATACCCATACCTATATTATATTCTTTCCAAAAATCATTAATCTTTTTAGTATATTAACTAATTCTTGATTAGGTCTTGAGAGAAACCAGACAAGGTTTTGGCATCCTAGTCTCCAAACTTCCGAAAGACACTCACGCATCATACTCTTTACAAGAACCATCAGAGGTAACCATGCGATTCTTAAAAATTATGTATGTCTTGTTTTATTATACAAGATAATATCTTATTGGTTTTTGACGGGTCAGTCAAAGATTACTTAGATAGGTGAAATTGTCAAGCAAATCACATTTTCTATGTCCCTTTCCAGTCATTGAAAATACCCATGTTTCATGTTTCATGTTGTCATATTCCTAACCGTGTGACTAACTTTTTTGTTTCAGGTTATGCTTTTCTTGCGCCGTTTAGTAGAGTGGAAAAGGTTGGCCTTAAGGAGGCAGTCCAGGCTGAGAAGACAACTGGAGGAGATAAAAGCAACCTTAAAAAACTAAGATACCTTTGTTATTACCTAGTAATTAATTTAGTACTATTGCCTTCCTAATCTGAACCAGTCAGCTATAGATAAGATATGTTGATTTACCTCTTTGTAGTCATCTATGACTGGGTAAGGTTACAAAACTAGCTTTATGCAGATCTAATCTTCTGGTAACAATTGCGGGTAATAGAGGCCTTTTCTTTTTATCTGGACTGTAAAGGCCCTGTACATTTACTACCCAACAAGCTCTACACAAGGGAGCAAATTGTAATTTCAGCAGGCAATCTTGTCCAAGTGGATGGCAAGTTGTGCTTGTCTCTTTCAAGAAAAGGGAAAGAATGTTAATCTATGGTTTTTACTATAATTTCTCGGCCAACATTTATTGCAACTTGCAAACTAAAGTATTATTGCCTAATGGAATATAATGATGATGATATTGTAGTTCAATTCATAACAAAAACTATCTCAAAAGCATACAATAATGGCAACTAATGTTAGTAGACAATGACACTACTGAATAGTGTCCTAATTCTTTGGTTCTTTGAATTTGAGAAAGTGAACTTTAATCAATCCTATTTTAAAATAACTCGGTTCATATATTCATTATTAAGAAAAAAGTTTACAAACTTTTGAATAAAAGTTAATTTCACCATATATGCCTCTCGACTTTAGTGCATTTCCTACTTTAGTCACTTGACTATAAAACTCACCATTAGATACCATCGACTTTATAAAGTTACTCACCTCATGCCCTCTATTAAATTTTATTATATTCATATGGTATTAAATATAATGGTAACATTGTAATTTCACCCCATTGCTCGCCTCTCAACTTTAATGTGTTTTCACTTTAATTCATCAACTATACAATTGATCACGTACTAGGTATATATCCATTGCAACACTACCCACATATTTGACGTCAAGGTATAAAACAACTAACTTTGCAAAGTTAAGAACATCTAATAATCACTTTTATAGTCCAAGATTAAAGCTGAAACATATAAAAGTCGAAAGACATAGAACAGAATTAACTATTTTGTATAATCTCATATGAAATATACACTTTCTAATATTTGATACTTTATTAACAAGATCTAAACTTAAACTTAATTTATATTAAAAAATCAAATTAAATAATTACTTGCGACTAATTAGCTAAGATTTGTATTTGTGTTTTCAAGAATACTTTGCCTCCTCTATTGTATGCTGCAGATCTACAGGCATCCTTGTTGTCAGACAACAAAACACGAATTATAATGTTTTTAATACTTAGAAAACATTTCTCATATGATTATTTAATTGGTTAATGTACAATCCCTATACCCTTAAACCACAAAAAAAAATACTACTACTACTCTCCAATTCTACTCTCAATTTTTACTCACTTACAAATATTTAATGCTAACAATTTCATTATTCTGACTCACAGAATAAAGATAATTAATCATCAATTGTCATATCAGAAAGTAAAAATAAGAGAATAAAAACAGAGGCAAAATACATGTAATAGAACTCTTAAACCACTAATCTCGCTTTGTGGGTAAGAAAGCAACAAAGATATATTAATTGTATTAGTACTTGACAGACATTCCAACAAGCAGACATAACCACCATCAATATAAAATTGTTGTTGATTCTTTTCATGAAATTATTAATATAGTATGTAATTAATTACATGGATCTAGACAATTAGTTTAATCAACATCCTAGCTGTAAGCATGTTATTGAAACAGAAAAATACACGTAGCAACTAACAAATGTACGAGAATAATATTATTTTTCTTTTAGATTTTTTTCTCTTTGAATTTGACTCGATAGTGACAATATTTTCTTAATGAAAGCAACATAATAATAATAATAATAATAATAATAATAATAATAATAATAATAATAATAATAATAATTTAGATCAAGATTTTTCTCTTTTTTTCCAAAGATTATTGAAGAAGTCTATACTAATTATTGGTTGAAAGTCATTTTTTTTTTTTTAAATATTACCCAATGCCCTGGTGATTCCACATGAGATTCTATTAAATAAAGACTTTGAATTGTAACCTTTAGCCCTAGGGTCGAATTCTAGTTAGAAATCAATCGCGAATCAAGAATCTAATTTTAATTTCTGTCAATATCATCAAAAGAACAATCACCAACACCTGTCAACCTTGACCACAAAGTTAGTTGTGCATCATAATCAAAAGAACAATCTCCAACACCTGTCAATCTTGACCACAAAGTTAGTTGTGCATCATAACTAATTATCAAGATCAAACGTCTACTATTATCAAAAGTTATATGATGAATGGTGTACAAAGGCGTAGCCGACCGATGACACCCTAGCCTAATCGGTCAAATCCTCCCCTTAGCAACTAGGATAGTCGGAGTGTTGAGCTTTGGCTTGGGGCGTGTCGTAAGTGATCCTGGGAAACTATTCGACTATATTGGCAAGGCGGGGCTCGTGGTCCATGGCCCGGCCTAGGCAGAAGCGGGCTATCTTGTATTAGTTCACATCATATAGGACCGAATTACCTATTTCGGATGTAATAAAGAATCCTAACGCGAGAAGTCTTAGCAATTAGCTTTCTCTTAGGACAAGTCCCCCTGTATAAATATATATTCCCTCCTAAGGAGTAAAATGGATCCGATTTTCCCTAATAAAATACTTATTTTCTCCAAATTATCTTCTCGACTCGTTTTATTAACAAGAACGTAACTATATTTCATTATACTCGTGTAACAGCTATTGTTACACTCTGACAACAAAATATGTTGATCTCAACTGGCTCTTTAGATCTCTCCCCAACAATTTCAACCGTAACTGCTTTTGATTCGTTCAAACTATTATAATAAAATTGATTTGTTATCAATATTCTTACATCTAAATGGATCTATCTATCTATCTATCCATCGCTGTTGAAAACTATCCACGAACTAAAGAAGGGTGAAGAGAGATTATTACAACTTGGCCATTTGGGTACTTAGATTTGAAGAATCTCAAACCAAGTTGCTCCTAATTAGTCAACTTTAGTTTGGTTTTTAATATGAATTAAGGAAGAAAACAAAGAAGCTAATAAGGTAGCATGATTTGTCAAACTTTAGTCTTGGTTAGGTGTGGGAAAGGGAAACACACCACAAGGATGTAGGGAATCCTTGGTTGGAAGAGGAGTTGGAATCCCACTTAGAAAGGATTGTGTTTCGTCTTTGGTAGAAGAAAACCACATGGGTTGGCGAATGACAACAACAACGTGCCACCAATATAATGAATATAAGCTGCCGCTAATATAATTAACGTTGCCAACCTCGGTTCCTTCGAATTCAACGTGGAGAGATGGACTCCACTTGATATATACTCATCACGTATATATAATTGCTGCCTATTAATTTTCTTTTTTTTTTTTATTGGTTTATTCCTAACTTCAATTATTGATGAGATGTATGTAGCGAATAACTCAAGAAAGAACTTGGAGAAAGTACACTTTTTTGTCACTTAATTCACCCATGCCAATATATCAAATCAACTCCTCATCAATAATTGCAATGACAGAATCAAATACGTGTCCGTTCTCACCGATTATCACAAATAACTGTTCAGAGAAAAAAAATAGTTAAAATACTATTAAAATACTAAAGAAAGAAAAAAAAACCTCATTATTACAAAAGTGGAAATGATTGTCCATCTAGAAGTGAACACAAAAACACATGTAAGACGTGAGAGGTATTATACTTTTTAACAAAAATATAATAATTTTAGCCAAATGATTTTACTCAAAAAATAATAATAATAATAATAATAATAATAATAAAAAACAAAAAACAAAAAACGTATTCTATTTTTACCAAACAATATTAACCGCCTCACGTGAAATGATCTCACACAAGATCAACCAATGAGTCATACAATTTTTTTAAAAAAATAATTAAGTTCATTACTATTTTGACTATATCTAGGTGAAAAAAATTGTTTCAACTAAAATTAATTCTTATTTTCTTTCTTGTGTGATCAAAAAGTAAAATTTCTCCTTCCGAAGCTCACATTTTACAGGAATTGTGAATGAGTTAAAATCACAGTGACTTAATAGCCTCTTAAGTGAGAGGAGTCACCCGCACAAGAGGATAAAACTCTCACACTACGACTATCATGATTTAATCCTGGGTCCTTTGGTGAATCTGTTACTCGTGAACCAATTGAGCTACCTCTGAGGGTTTCATATTTCCTTTGTTGACATGTAAATATGAAATATCAAACTATTGAAATCTTTCTATATGTATATACATACAAAAAAAAAAAGTAAAAAGTTTGAACTCACATGGAAGAACATGTAGAGCAAGATGCAAATACTCCAGGGAACAAAATGAGAAGGACTTCTGGGTGGTTGGTCGGATAGATCATCTCAGAACCACGGCCATTCGACACGTACGTTTGAATGAGCTGAGAGTTTTGGCATTGTCGTTTGTGAATGAAAATGATAATGTGGATCCATTTTTTTTTTTCTTGTTTTTTCCATGTTTGTGTTCTTTGTAATTTTGTGGGTGTAGTGGCAGAATTAGTAGGTGTGAGCAATTATTTCCATGTGGTCGGGGTTGGACCTCACACAATCCGGTGTAGAGGTTGTTACCTTGTCGTTTGTTAAGGAAAATTATTTTCTGTTGAGACTTATTGCAAAATCTATCATAATCTTGACTTTTGATAGTTATGTAATAGCCTGTTTGATAACATAATTAGTTTATCATTTAATTTTGATTTATTTGATCACTATTAGTTATTTGACTTGATTAATCAATCAATATGAGTGCTTGATTAATTAATTTTTTGTAACAACTTACTACACCAAAAATGCTAAAATTCAAAAAGTTGTTCAAAGCAGTTTTTTTATCAACTTTTTGAGAAAATAATTTTACATTTAATCAACTATCAGCTAACAGCTAATTTATCAAACACTTTTATACAATCAGCTAATGCTATCAACTAATCAAATCTACTAACTTAAACAGCTAACAACTATTTACCAAACACTCCAATATATTTTCTGGGTAATAATCCGGTTAAATTAAAGGTTGTGCGTGAGACTTCAAAGTTTGGAATTAGTAAGATATATCTTCTTCTTCTTTTGACATAAGTATTGGCTCTCTGCTTATTAGCTTATAGTTGTTAGCTTATTGGGTTAATTAGATAGTATAACTAGTTGATAATATTAGCTGATTGTAGAAAGATGTTTGGTAAATTAGCTGTTAGTTGATAGCTATTTAATATAATTTCTTTTCTAAAAAAGTTGCTTTAAGTAGCTTTTTGAATTTCAACATTTTAGAGTACAAAAAACTAATTAACCAAACACTTATATTGATTTTTAAACCAAATCAAACAATTAATAGTGGTCAAATAAAATAAAATTGACTTATAGACTAACTATGGCAACTATTTTACCAAATAAGGTCATTCTAATTTTGATAGATTAATCACGAGGCCCATAAATTCGCTCCTAGGTTCATAACGAGATAAATTAAGTTTGCTTAGATGACTGAAATGTTTTGATCTTATTTTTGAAGAATTATGAGAGAAGAGAGGGTAACTCTAGTTAATATGGTAAGAGATTCATATTTATAATCACAAGGTCACGAGTTTGAATCTTGTCCTCTTGAGTTGAGTGTATCGACTATGGGATAAATTAAGTTGATTTATTTTTTTGTAGTCTTTTACCAATTACAGGGCGTTTGGTTGAAGGGATTTTAAATTCCTTTCCCACTTAATTCTCACCTAATTCCAAAGGCCACAAAATTCCCTTGTTTGGTTGAAAGGAATTGCAATTCCATGGAATTGTAATTCCTCCATTTTCATGGAATTAAAATCCCATGTCCCACCCTAGTATTTTAATTCCTGGGATTTTAGGAAGAAAAAAAGATAGTGATGAGTCAAAATTACCCCTTCTTTTTTTAACCTAAAATTAATGCTTGACAACAACAACGGACATTTTGGACTTTATACTACTTATTCCCTTTAATTTCCGTGTATACCAAACATTGGAATTGAAATTCCCGGTAATTCTATTCCTGTCAACCAAACATTGGAATTTAAATTCCCACTTTATTCCCAGTAATTCATCTCCCATGGAATTGCAAATCTTTTTCCACGTAATTCTCTCTCTCCAACCAAACGCCCTGTTAAAATTATAAAGAAGAATTTACTCACACTCAAACGGCTTGTAGGATTTTCCTCGTCATCCAACAAAATAAAAATGAATTATGAGAGAAGATGACCTGGTATGATATGGTCTGGAGCTACAAATAAATTTTAAAAAATCACTAAATGTTCGGTCAGTGGGCCATCGGCCCATTAGTGAGAACTCTCATGTGAATGAAATATCAATTTAAACCAATCAGTATATTGTGAACCGTAGTGTAAATTGCAAGTTAAATTATTAATATATATGTTCATTTTTAATATAATATTTTTATAAAAAAAAATATCTTTTTAACATTTAAAAATTAATACATTAAAAATAAACAATTACCAATTATTTATCTTGCGATGTGGACTCCACGGTTATAATTTCTCCAATCTAAAAGATGGAGCATGGGAAATGGGCCTTGACTGGAAGGCCCAAATGATGAAACAATACATTCGTAATGACAATTTATATCCTACACCACGATGCGCGTTGCACTATGCGCTCAGATGCAAAACGACGTCGTTTTAATTTATTTTTTTTTGAAATTTCCCGTCCCAGTGAATGGCAGTAGTTTTTCCTTTAAAAAAAAACCCGCTGTTCAAGAATGTACATAATGTTATACTAGAAAAATACACATAATTGTATACATGAATGTACATAATTATATAACAAAATATATATACTCTTTTTAAAAGATAATACACATAATCTAACATAATACATAATAAACATAAACTTTTAATAGAATACACATCAACTCTTAACATAATACACACAAATTTTCTGATTCGGATGTACATAATTGTATAAAAAGAATGTACATAATTGTATAAAAAATGTACATAACTGTATGAACAAATACACATAACTGTATGAACAAATACACATAACTTTGTGAACAAATACACACAATCCCAGCAACTTCTTACCGCGCCTCCCAAAATGATCCCAAAACGACGTCGTTTTGGGAGGCACGCGGCGCACAGTGCTATGTGCGCCGTGGTGTAGGGTATAACGATTGATTCGTAATGCAAAAATTTAATTATTTGAGATAATTAATTAATTACCGGCCAATAAGGCTAAGAAATTCCTCAATACATAGAAGAATATGGTTTTGCCACTTGTCAACGCTGCATTCATAATTTTTCCATAATAATCTATCGCATAGTTCTAATCATACCGGCCTACCACTCTACCAGTCGCAAAGGAGACGAAATCCGCCATGGAAAAGGGCAAGCTCAACCGTCTCTGCTTCGGTCTCTTCTTCTCACTCTGCTCCGCCGTCTCTTCCATATCCGAATCGGTAAGTTCCCTTCCTTCTCCGGTCGATTAATCTCCGTTTATCGTGAAGCAACAGTGACAGATCGGAGATCTGTAGGATTCAGATTGTGTGTACACGGCGTACATCCGAACCGGATCCGTTTGGAAGGGCGGAACGGATTCCATCATCAGCTTGGCCCTGTACAACGCCGACGGTTACGGTGTACGGATCAACAACCTGGAGGAGTGGGGCGGGCTTATGGGCGACGGCTACGACTACTTCGAGAGGGGTAATCTCGACATTTTCACCGGCCGCGGCCCCTGCTTGAGTTCTCCGGTCTGCGCCATGAACCTCACCTCCGACGGCTCCGGCCCGCACCACGGCTGGTACTGTAACTACGTCGAGGTCACCGTCACCGGCGTCCACGATTCCTGCAACCAGCAGCTCTTCACCGTCGAGCAGTGGATCGCCACTGACGCGTATCCCTACGAGCTCACCGCGATCGTAGACCACTGTTACTATGATCGCTCCCGGCTTGCCGCCGTCGACGGTGAGAAGATGACGATTCTTTGAGGGGGATTTCGTTCCCGGTATGAATGTATTGGTGTTGTAATGGGCTTTTAGGCTTATAGATATCGGCCTTGGGCGCAAACAAGGCCCAATGCTGCCTATGGATATTATTACCATAAATTGGGTCAAATTTGCCAATTGTTATACTGTGGACCATGGTCCGAAAACGATGTCGTTTTTTTTTTTTTTTTAAGTAAAGAAACGGTAACCGTTATTTTTAACAGATTTCATATTTTTTTATGTATTCATAACAAAATAAAATTAAAGTATATCTAAAATGAAATTGTTTGTGTTTATATAATCAAATGAAACTGTAATTGAATTGAATTGATGCTTTAGTTATGTTGAAATGAAACTGCAGTATGTATAAAATCAAACGAAATAACATGTCCCACATATTGAATCTATATTGTCAAATAGAATGGTAGTTGAATAGAAATGATACTTTAGTTTTGTTGAAATGAAACTACAAACATAAAAAGAAAATGAATAACATGTCTCACATATAAAGTGTTATTGTCAAATGAAACTGTAATTATATCGAAATGATACTGTAGTTATGCTGTAATGAAACTACAGTATATATAAAATGAAGCTGAATAACAGTTTCACATATTTGAGTGTATATTGCTCAATAAAATCGTGTATATTGTCCAACAAAACCGTAGTTGAATTTGAATTATAATTTAGTGGTGTTGTAATAAAATTACAGTGAATATAAAATGAAATTGACGGTAAATATGTTATCGGATAATATTATTATGTAACTGAGATAATGTAAGTTGTGTTGCAATAGGTTTGAGTACAGAATAGTGAGCGTGTGTCTCTTAGCACCGAGTATTGAACGCGTCCCCCTTCTCATCCAAGAATCATATACTTATATAGTGTAATGGTAACAACTATAATAATAGGCAATAATGACCTTCTAATAAGTGCAACGGCTCCCTTCCATAAGTGTAGGTCCCCTCAGCAACTGCTCTTTGATGAGGCGGTACGTAACAGCAATCACAATGAGGAGTTGAGCCATTATTTCCTTGTCTTGAATGAGCGGGGTAGTAAATGACTTCTGACCGTTGGAGTTTTGCCCACTGGGTTTCCACGGGACGCCGAGTTATGTGCCTGTTGACAACTTAGGTCGGGTGCTAGCACCATTATTCTATCAGAAATTAAATAACATGTCCCATTATAATAAGATTATTATATGTATAATATCAAATGAAACTGCAGTTAAAACAAAATGAAACTTTAATTATACTAAAATTAAACTACAATGTATATAAAATAAAACAAAAATGTTATACAAACAGAACTGATTACACAACGACACAAAACATATACTTTTACAGTACCGTTTTAGACCATAGTCCACAGTATAATTTGCCATTAATCATTGCGCTGTTTCTTTATCATGTCTGAAAAACGTGGTCCTGTCCTGAAGGAGCACTCACGTGCATCTCAGATCATTCTCACGTGGAGTCTCCCACTATATGGCACTATGTGCCGACATATGAAGTAAATTTTATCACAATCAATTTATAAAATTTTTGATGTAGTTTGGTGATTTCGATTTGGACATTCATGTTATTGATCTCTCCGCCAAGCATTTCATCTCTACTTGTGATCGAGTTAGTAAAAGTAATATTTAAATTTATTTTTTTTTAATCTCAAATTCATAATGATAGAAAAAATTTACGATGTCAATAAATACTAATTCATATTTTAATTGAAGTACATTTTATGATTTATCTCATCCATCAATTTATAAGTCAGGATCACTTTTAAAAAAAAATAAAAATAAAAAATCAAGTCATACCTCAAACTTAAAGGTCTTTATACCATTTTTACACTAAAAATGAATGAAAAAAGTAAATTATACAAAATATTCTTTAACGTTCTGACAAACTCCCAGATGCATGTATATTAGTGTTTTCATCAGACTAAATTCATACATCCATTGTTTTTAGTTACTGATATGATTTAGAGATGTCAACTAGACGGGGTGACAGCATACCCCCATCCCCAACCCCACTCTTAATTTTCTACCACATACCCCGTCTCTATCCTCATCCCTGCCAGAGAGGAGAAAATCTCCTTACCCCTATCCCCTCGATTATCGGAGGACGAGGAATTCTCTACTCCGTTCTTAATTTATAACAATACTAAAATTAAGCCACATTTAAATAAATAATTCATATATATTCAACTTAAATATTTTTTTAAAAAAATCTCAAGGCAAGTAGATCCAAATTTATAATATTTATAAAATTATACATGTTATATACATAGTAATACATATTTGTTTGTGCTATGAGCTTTAAATGTATATAGTTATATACTTATATACGTATATATATATTTTTTTTTTGAGAACGGGGCGGGGAGAGTACTCCCCATTTCCGTTCTCGTCCCAGGCATTAAATTAAAAATTCAGCTCTGTGCTCATTCCCTTATTTTTTGTCTCTATCAAATTTCCGTTGAATATATGCACAATTGACATCCTAATATGGTTCAAATCAAGCACTTGCAGTGACTAGCAAAGTAACGCTTGTAAATTTATTTTAAACTTGTTAACAAGTCGAACTAAAACACTATACTATACAGACACAACAAGTAAGCTAAGACTATAAAAATAGATAACTTTCACGGATAGCTAAGTTGGTTAATAAGTCAAATATTACATGTAATGATGCACCTACAATGTGGGAGTTTCACATTTTTATTAGGCTTGTTTTTTCACCCAAAAAATAGGTAATTGCCACTTGTCAACACTGCATTTATTATTTTCCCATAACACTATCTCCAATCATTCATTCAACTAAAAATATTGAATACATCTCATTTCTCAGTTATTATCATACCTACCACTCTACCACGCTACACAGAGCAGAGGAAATCCGCCATGGAAATACGCAAGGTCAACCCGCTTTGCTTCGGCCTCGTCTTCTTATTCTGCTTCGCCGTCTCTTCCATCTCCGGATCGGTAAGTTCCCTACCTCTCTTCCTTCTCCGATCGATTAATCTCCGTTTTGAATGAAGCAACAGTGACAGATTGGGGGAACTGTAGGATCCAGATTGCGTTTACACGGCGTACGTCCGAACCGGATCGGTTTTGAAGGCCGGAACGGACTCGATCATCACCTTGACTCTCTACGACGCCGACGGTTACGGTGTACGGATCAACGACCTGGAGGCGTGGGGCGGGCTTATGGGCGAGGGCTACGATTACTTCGAGCGGGGTAATCTCGACATTTTCAGCGGCCGCGGCCCCTGCTTGACCGGTCCGATCTGCGCCATGAACCTCACCTCCGACGGCTCCGGCCCGCACCACGGCTGGTACTGTAACTACGTCGAGGTCACCGTCACCGGCGTCCATCAGGCCTGCAACCAGCAGCTCTTCACCGTCGAGCGGTGGCTCGCCACCGACACGTCTCCGTACACGCTCACTGCTATCGTGGATACCTGCTACCCCGATCGCTCCCAGCTCGCCGCCGTCGACGGTGAGAAGACGATTTATTCCCAAATAATCGCTGAGATTTGACTTTTGAGCGTTGTTGGGCTGTAGAGTGGCCCATTTTTTTATTATTATATGAGTGTATCAATGTGTTCTAATGGGCTAATGCCTACTGGGCTTATAGATATGGCTTGATATGGGCCTAGGAGCATACAAGGCCCAATGTCGTTCCATATCTATAGGTGTTTTTTTTTTTTTTGTTTTTTTTTTTAATGGTAAAATAACGAATGTCTCCCTGAATAAGTATGAGATTTATCTTTCACAAATTGGAGTTTTTTTTTTTTTTTTTTTTTTTTTTTTTTTTTTGCTTAATTTAAAATTTAATATTTGAATTTTGTAAATATATATATATATAAAGAATATAAAGCAAAATAGAAATGAAATAACTGTTTCAGCAGTTTGGCGGTTAGCATCTTCTCCCTGCCAAAAGCAAAAAGGGAGAAACTTGACGTTAAAAACCCTAATCTGAATCGATTCTCATTTTCCAATCCTTCGAAATCCGGCAGAAGAAGACGATATGATTATGGGTTCATTGTTACATGATTTCAATTCCTCCATAATAATTCCCAGAATTTTAAAGATCGCCATAATGTTCTTCTTCTTAAAAAAAGCACAATCTTTTCCTCCGCCGCACCTCAACGAAACCACGACGGCGCCGCCGTCAATCTCCCTGCTCCTTTTCGCCCACGCCCTCCCGATGGGGCTGTTTCCGGAGGGCATTCTCGACTTTTACCTCGACAACGTCTCCGGCCGCTTCGAGCTCCACCTCTCCCACTCCTGCGCCGCCGAGTTCGAGACCCCTGTCTGGTACAACGCCACCGTGTCCGGAATCCTCAGCTACGGCCAGATTTCCGACCTCTCCGGCGTCGCCGCCCAGGAGCTTTTCCTTTGGCTCCCCGTCGACTCCATTCGGGTCGACATCCCTAGCTCCGGTTTGATTTATTTCGATGTCGGCGTAGTTAACAAACAATTCTCCCTCTCCTTTTTCGAGACGCCGCGTGTTTGCAACTTCCTAGGAAACGACGAGGAGCCTTCCTGGCCTCCAGGAGACCTCGTGTCAATCGAGGATCTTGGTCCGATAATCAAGGTTCGATTACAGCTCTACCTATCCATTTTTATTCTTAATTTCCTCTACCTGAAAGAATTTCATGATTTCGTGCTGGAAATGAGGATATATCCATATGATAATGGCCACCAATTTATGTGCAGTGTTAATGCCATTGCACAATCTTTATCTTATCATAGAAAGTTTTTAACTTTTTACTGTGCCCCTGCATTTCTCTGTTGTATTTGCAGGAAACAAAAAAGTTTGGATCTTTTACTATGTTTTTACATGTAATTCATTGTTTTAGTCTCTCTTGCTTTTATTGATGATGAGGAAACACCGGGTAAACCCACCTTTTGAACTTAGCTGGTAAAGAATTACAAGGAGGTAAACTAACATAAGTTATTCATAGCTGACGGGTCAAACTAAAAAAGACCAATATGCCCTTCTAGGAGTCGAACTTGTAACCTTATGGTTACCACGTCAATAGCCTGGCCAATTTAGTTGGGTTTGCCCTGTTTAAGTCTCTCTTATTGACGGTGAAACTGATGGATGGTAATATTTTGTCAGTAAACTGAGTGGAATGTGAAGGTTTTAACCAGTATATTCTGTGTTTGCATCGATGATCTTGTTGCGTTTGTTTCATCATCTCCTTAAGAGCAAGAATTATGTTAGTTGTGGTTTTTTGTTGTGTTACGTTACAGACTGAATCAGGGAAGGTGCTGAAGCAGCGTTATCAAGAGGACGCGGGGATAGCTGTTTCCTAACTTGTTGCAGGAAGAGTAATTCGCCAAGTACCTCGATCAGTGGGGTAATTTGGGAACTTTCCTTCTACCTCGAGAGCGTTGAAGAATGAAGACTCGACATGTTACTGCATCTCTATTTGCTTTGTTCTTGTTGGCAGTTTTTTTTTTTTGTTTTTACCCGAGAGAGAAACACGAAGGTAACGAGAAACTGGCTTTAGGTGTTGTTGATAATGTACAGTTGATATGTAAGTATATAACATTGTACTCACTCTGATCTGATCTCCTGGTGTAACTGGCATTGAACTCATATTTTAATTTGTTTTGTGTAAAGGAAGAAAACTTGAATGGCATTTATGTATAGCAGGTTGAACTTGAGTAGCAATGAAGTTAATATAATTTACCTATTTTCCTTTGTCTTTCTCATCATTTGCCATTCTCCATTTTAGCCAGTTTCAGGGCTCAAAAGGTTAACATTGTCATTACACATTTGTCAATCATAATATATATATAAATAATTAAATATGCATTGTTACTAATTTACTACTCCGTATAATTTAAATTTTTAGTTGAGACTTGGGACAGAAAGTATGTTCAATTATAAAGTGCCATTTTTAGCTGAGACTTGGGACAGAAAGTATTTTCAATTATAAAGTGTGATTTTTGCTCTGCAAAAAAGTACTAACTTTTGCCAATAATTTGTCATGCATTTTAACTTAATAATTGACAAATTCTATCATAGGGGGCCTCTATGCTACATAGACTAGTCTGTTGATATATCCACCATTGTTTTTTGTGGGTGACAATAATCTTATTTTTATGTAATACTTTATTTTGTACAAATTAAATCGCATAAGAGAAATAAATTACACTACATAAAAACATGTTGACAAGAATAAAACTTATGACCTATTTAGTTACACCTTTTGGGGCAATATGGCTCTGTTTGGCAACGCTAAGCTAGGAGCTTATAGCTTATTTTAAGCTACTAACAAGCTATAAGCTCTGTTTGGTAATGTTCCCAAAATAAGCTCCTAGCTTAAAATAAGAGCTTATTTTGGAACGCTACTTTAGGTAGCTTTTCAAAATAAGCTACTAGCTTTTTTTCCATCTTTACCCTTATTATTTTAAAGTAATGACATATTTTAACCTTATGAATTAAAACCCTTTCTCTTCCCCTATCCCAACTTTCACGTCAATCCCTTCCTTAGTCTTGTTTCTTGCTAAACAATTATGTTGAATTAAAACCCCTCCTCCTCCTCCTCCCTCTCCCCCTCCCCCTCCTCCTCATTATTATTATTATTATTATTATTATTATTATTATTCTTATTCTTATTCTTCTTATTGTTATTGTTGTTGTTGTTATTATTATTATTATTATTATTATTATTATTATTATTGAGAGATCGTTTGAAGTATTGAATAAGAGATGGAAGATACTTGCTAAAATGCCGCAGTTTAATGAGGAGCCCAAATTGATGTTATTATGACCACATTTGCACTACATAATTATATTCAGAAGAATTCACAAGATGACATGATGTTTAATGTGCTTGAGCAGCATCCAGATTACATACCGTCCGATGAACTTCAAGATTCAAGTAGTAATATCTCCATCAACGAAAATTTAAGTCACACCTCTATGGAGATGAAGGAGATTCGCAACAATATTGCTACTTCATTATGCGATGCTAGATCATGATCATGCTAATAGTTTTATTTTAAAAAGTGTTTACTTTTTTTGGAAGACGAAATGTTAATTTTAATATGTAAACAAACTAATTTAAATTTTATGAAGATGTCCTTTTTAGTCTTTTTACATTTATCAGCTTATCAAAAAGCTAAATTTACCAAACACTTTCAATCATAACAGCTAGCTTAACAGCTCTTCAATTTTCAGCTCCGAGCTTATAGCTTTTCAGCTTTCAGCTCCTTTTCAGCTATCAGCTCCTAGCTTATAACTTTTCAGCTAGGTTTGCCAAACAGAGCCTATATCAATATATCACCATTTTTGCCTAGGGGCATAGATGGTAACTGTACTCTGGGAGAGAATTGACAACCCTAATAATAAAGTTCAATGGTTCAATAGACAATATTTGAGAGAATAAGAAGAATGAAATAGTATTTTCAAAAATAAATCGCTCAGGCAATATTTGAGAGAAAAATAAGAATGAAATAGTATTTTAAAAAATAAATGTATATCATCATAATTCTAGTGTTGATTAACATTTAACACTTTAGAATGTTTACCAAAAATGATATTGTATTATAGAATTTGGTTCATTTAAATTTACATTCACCACAAAATTTGTTCAACAAATCAATCATCCAATACAAACAAGAACTCATCACTAAATTAAACCTCCCATGGGATTTAGCCAAATTAAACCATCTAAATCTAAGAAAATGAAGCATCTATCACAACATCAACAATGACACTGCAGTTCATTCCATTCCTGCATGAATCCATTCTTATTCCTCTGTCCATCGAATCCTACTACCTCGTACGTGGTCCCCATGCATCTTTCTGCTCCACTCTCTGCAAGAATCAACAACTTCCAGTCTTCTGATCCCCAACACTCACATCTCTCGCCATCTCTATCTGCTGCCATTTTCATGGTGTTTTCTAAGCAGAAGCTGTTGAGCTTCCTTCATCATCTTCCCAATCTCTTCATTGTCTGCTGTCTCTTTCATCAACACCTCACATTCTTGCATGCATGCTTCCCATTTTCCCATCTGTTTAACAAAGTTTGATTCAAGATTCTTCTTATTATTATTTTTTTAGATGACGAGAAAAATCAACTGTCACTATGTGAGGGTATGCATTTGGTAAATCCCATGGACCCGGGTCTACCTTACAAGGTGGACTTGAGTTAAAATACAGTAAAATATGTATTTGGTAAATCCCATGGACCCGGGTCCACCTTGCAAGGTGGACTTGAGTCAAAATACAGTAAAATAGTAAACAGTATGTAAAAGAAAGAGGGATACCCTATACATACTACTTGCCTCAAATGAAGTTCGAACTTATCACCTTCCAGGGGAGCAATCGAGTACTAGTGGACCAGGTCCTTGGTGGATCCACATAATAATTTGCCCCGGGAAGAAAAGGACCACAAGAAGGTATACCCACATAAGTTGTCCATGACTAACGGATCCAAACCAATAAGACGATTAGACGAATAGGTCTTTTTCACTCAAGTTAAACTTGTAACATATTTAGTTGAACCTAACCGTCACTACTACCCGATGTTGCACCCGGTCTCTGCCTTGTGACTCTAACAATTATTATTACAATAGCTAACATGCTCAAATCAAGAAGTACAATTGATTCTTTCACTAGGATTCAAACTCGTAAGTTGTAATATTATGATTACTAAATCAATAGTTTGACGAGCTTAGTTAGATTATTGTTATTTGATATGTATTTATGCAGAAATGTTTTTAGTACCTTAAAGAGACAGTCGGATCTCCTTAGCCTAGCCTTGGTGAACGACGGCCGGAGGTTGACGGCGGCGTTGCAATCCTCCAGCGCTTTCTCGTACTGTCCCAGCTTTGTCCGGCAGGCGGCGCGGTTGCACAGCAACACGGCATTGTAGGGATCATGCTCCAGTCCTTCTCCGTAAGCCACACTCGCCTCTGAAAACCTTCCGGCCTTAAAAAGTTCGTTGCCGTTCAATCTGGCAGCCGCCACCGCCCGTGTTCTCCGGCCCACCACGCCCACCTCCTTGCTGTTGGAGTCCAGCTGGCTCGCTCTCTGCGCCGCCGCCACCGCATCCTCCACCCTGCCGGCGGCCATGTCGACTTGAGCTTGTACAATTAGCAGACTCGCATTGCCAATCGGACCCAGAAATTTGGTGCATTCATCAACGTCAAAGTTGGGACCTTTTTTCATGGCTTCATCTGCTTCCTCGTACCTATGCAGCCTCATCAATGACTCCGCTTTCAAACCAAATATCTTTCAAGAAAAAGGTGACCCAAACATAAATACTATGTAATAACAATATTAGTATTTGAGAAATCAAAAGATCATGAGTTTGAATCACGAGGAACCTGTGGTGCAGAATCCGCCCCAGCCGATATGGCCAGGTCGGATTCCTTCAAGAGTGTGTTCCAATCTTTGTGCTTCTTGGCCTCAGTGCACCGATTGAGATGAAGTTGAAGATTTTTGGTTTTGGTCATAACATCAGGATCAGCTTCATGCGCTGCTTGTTTATAATGATACATAGCCTTTTCTACCTCTCCTAACCTGCAATCATAACTTAGTTTTTAGTTTTTAGTAATGTTGTAAAAATCAGCCGAGGCTATTTCAACTTTAGGCGGCTTTTAGTTGGTTGGCCGACTAAGCACCCTAGGCGCCGAGTTGAGCTCCTAAATTTGCCTAGTTGGCGCCTAATTAGGCTCAATCGGCCAGCAACTCGAGCGAGTGGTATATTTTACCTGCTTGGTTGCTCTCTTCTATATTCCTTCCGCCATGTACATAACTAATCATCTAACATATGTAGTGGGCTAGTTTGTGTGACTATAATAGTCTAACAACTCACAGCCTTGAGTAGCTAGGTAAAGTGAAGACGATATACTCAAATTACTCGATCGCATAGGAGGTCCCTAGGCGCCCGACTAGGGCCTAGCGCCTTCTGCAACATTAATTATGAGGCAACCTATTAGCCTTCTTGATTTGAGTCGGTTAGTTATGGGCAATTTAGGCTGACTTACCCTTTATACACTCTTCAGTTATGAGCAATTTAGATTGGTTTACATCATTTTGATTCTTTGCTAATTAGGGTCACAAGGCAACATCAATAAGACCGATTTACCTCTTTGTGGTACTTTATTACTTAGAATCAAAAGATGAAATTTACCTAATGTATAACCTGGATTGGCCCATAATTACCTGACATAAAGAGTTGCGAGACGGTTGTGAGCTCTGTGATAAGAGGGTTCAATCCTAATGGCTTCTCTGCATTCAAAAACAGCTTCAAGAAGCCTTCCCAGAGCGGAAAGTGCAGCGCTCTTGTTGCTGCGATAAGAGGCCTTGTTTGGATCAATGGAGATGGCCGCATCGTACAAAGCCAAAGCTTCTGCGAATCTTCCGTTCTTGTAATCTTCATTGCCCAGAATCTTCAACTCTTCAGGATCCATTCTCGTGGAAATGGCTCTGCAGAGAGACGGCGATGAAGGCTTCTCTCCGTTACCGTTCTCATGTTTCTTCACCACGTTTCCCATCACGCTCGTCGCGTATTTCCCGTTCCGAGGTTTCTGTTCTTCCTTGGCGGTTCTTGGGAGATGATCAAGAACGTTTTCGACCGGATTATTGTTGCTCCCAGGTTGTTGTCGTAAATTGCCCAGATTTCCGAACAGCATGAAGTTGTTGGACGAGGCTCGGAGCATTTTGGGTTCGCCCTTTGTTCCTTGATGATCGGCGAGCATGGTTTCGAGCTCGTCGGAGATTTCCATGGCGCCCTCTGAAGCCTTTCTCCCCGGATTCTTATTATTATTGCCATTGTTGTGACCTCTTGGTTGTTGTGTTTTCTGGGACGCCCTAGGGGCAGGACGGGAAATAATTCTGTCGGCGTTTTTCGCCGGAAAGTCGCCGTCCGGGGTGGCGATTTCCAATATGGACCGCTCGTCGGAGCTTCCCCGGAGACGATTAAGGCTCGGGGTGCTCGGAGCTCTGGCGAGATTGGTGGGACGACAATGGTGGTCGTCCTTATCGATGGGGAGTGAGCCGGTGGAGGTTGATCTCCGGGGAATGCTCCGGCGGCCGAAAACCGCATTAAATAGGCCGCAACCCGCCATTTTTTCCGACGACCCACCCGCCATTCTCTCCTCTTTGTCGGAAAATCAAGAAACAAAGAGGAAGGAAATAATGGGAACTAACGCTTTCAAATTGGTTGCATGGAGATTTCTATGAAAACGACTATAGAGGAAAAGGAAGCTTCTTATGCACAAAAGAAACAATTCAACAAACCATTCCTACGAACAACAGCAATCAATTATTGTTTTAATGTACAATGACTTGTTCAATTCATGTTGTTGAAAATAGAAAGAGAGGGAGGGAGATGAGTTGTAGGGAATGGACAATTTTGTCTCCACCCCCCAAGGGTGATGTGAAAAGTCTTTGGAGTGGCTAGTTGTTTGCCCAATTTCAGTCCCTAAATTGCTCACATTATATTCTTAACCCTTCAATTTTCGCAACTTGAAGGGGTTGGTTTTTCATTTCAAGATGTGACAGTTTTGACGGTTTTAGTTTCTCGATAGATTTTAATGATTTAGAATTAAAAATTACAATTTCATATTTTTATTGTTAATTACAGCCATGCCCCGTTGCACGTGTAATGTAAAAGTAGCAAACTTTAACAGTTTCGCGTGGGGAGGGAACAAGACTTCTACTTTATAAAAAAACACCTTATGATAAACTTAAGGGTCAATAATATAATGCTTATGCTAACCATTGATGGATTGAAATTGTGTTAGAGTTAAGAGCAGTAAAGGAAGGAACAACGGAGAATTGAAATAAAAAAGGAAACAACAAGGATATGTAAAATATCCTCCAGCAATAAATGCTTAGATATACTTAACCCTTATTTTATTCTAATTACTACGGGCGGCCTCAACACTAAGGAAACTCCCTATTTATAATGTCATATTGTATAGGAAAGTAAATATCATAATATTTCCCTACTAATATCAAATTCGTTGCTGCAATCTCATAACTTATGCTTAGCTTTATTTATAATTCAAAATTATGTTTCCATTTGTGTCATGATTTCCTTTCTTTCTCTTGGTGTTTTAAATACTGGCAAAAATAAATTTCAAGAATTTTATATTCCTTTTATTATTTTGGTTTTCAAAAGGGTGTTGTGGTGGCCATCATAATTTAATCTTTCTTGTTCTTGTTGGATTTGTTTATTTTGTGTGTGTTTGGGTGTATGGGAAATGAAGAGACCAAGTCAAGGGTGAAAGGAGGGTCTCAATATTTTGAGAGGAGGGAAATTAGGGAGGTGGGACCCATTTTCTCATAATCCATTCTTAGCTAATGATTTGGTGTTGGAGAGAATCTTTGGTTTTCAATTTTTCATGTAAGAAAAAACAGATGATGAGGGCTTCACGTAAGTGCTTTGAGATACCCCCACGTATGGCTTCCAGCTGGTTTTTAACTTACTTTTTCCATGCCTTTCTCAAAATATATTTATATTCAAACCTAATATCATTTTTTTAATAACTCAAGTTTTCGATTCACCGGATTAATTCCTAACCGTCATAAACCCGCCTCAAGACTCATGAAAAGATAAATTAAGCATATTTAGTTTCAAAGTTCAACACCAAATTGTACATTTTTACGCATAAGGAGTCCAATCCAACTCTAAAAGCCCAATCTCCCAATACCTTGCTGCATTTCTACACATAGGGAATCCAATCCAACTTTGAGAGACCAATCTCCGAATAACCTGCCAACCACTAGATCACTACGTTAGAAGCCACATAATATCATGTTTGATATTGAGAGAAAATGTATTTTTAATCCTTTAATTATTCCATACTAGTCGTTTTTGTTCCTAACTTTTTGTCAATACAATATACTCGCCTAACTTTTCAAAAAAGTTAGAGTTTTAGTCCCAGAACAAAAGAATGGTTAAACCCTACTAGGGTTTTATTTAATATATGGACATTTTAATAATTTAATATCTTTCTTATTTAATTATAACCCTCTTTAGTCTCATATTTCATCTATAAAATGTTTTTTTTTTTTTTTTAAAAAAAAAAAGAAGAAGGGATTTTAACAAGTCCGTGTAAAGGAAAAATAAGGACAATGGACTGCAATTGAAAGGAAAGAAAGAAGGTTGCAAATTTTTCATTTTGATTATAAAATACTAAAACTGAAGATGTACTGAATAATATTAATGTACTGAATAAAACATTAATGTAGTTTAATGGTTTTGTTGTTTCATGAATTAAGACTATAATAAATTATTATAATACAAATATAATGGACGGCATGCGTGAGCCAATAAAACTAAAAAAAGTCAACTTGAATTTGCTGAAAATTAAAGTTTGCTTATTTTTCAGTTCATTGGGTGAGGTCAATCGTAACCTAACAACTAAAACCAATATCCAGCACATAACAATTCAATGTACACTTAATGCAGGCACGCTGTTCATTGTACTCCCATAGCTTATTCAATACTCACTTCTAATAGCAAGGTGAAAGTTCAAATCCTATTACAAACCATTCAGAGATTTGATTGGGGCTGGGTTGAGATCTTTGCTGAATTATATATGTTGGTGTTAAATCTTAAAATTAGACATGTTATTTACCTCATCATAGACCTTGAGAGTGGGTTCATGAGTTATGTACCTTATAAGCATGAATTTTGTACCTCGTCTTTTCAATCCAGTTGGGTCTATAATGTTATGCTATGTGTCTTGTATTGTGATTTTTTGTATTTTGTGTTATGAAATACCTTACGAGTATGAATTCTATATCTCGTTGTTTCGATCTATAGTTCATAATGCTATGTAGACCCTGATCCATGATATAATTACCATTGTCTCCCGTCATGACCTTTTAAGTCAGGCAACGAACCAACAACTCACAATGAAAGTGGAAACCAAAACAATAATATTAATAGTAATCCACATTTGACAAGATCCTATCTAAATAATCTAATAACTTGTCCTCTTCAAATACTATAATATCAAATGTCAAAATTTTACTATGATTGGTACAAGTCTAACTACTACCATTGTTTTTCACTATCTTATCTTGACCACTTCCTAGCCTCCTAGGATATGCTTCAATGGCGAGTTTCACCTTCATGTAGTGCCTATGGACTTTCCCGTAAATCAAACCAAATCGAACATTACAATTTACAAGCTTCAACATGGAAGAGATGTAAAAATTTTAGCCTTTGAAAATTTGGCTCGATCGAATATGATTGGCAAGTATTTAGTCGTTACATCAGACGAGAGTTACATGGGAAAAAGAATTCGCTAATACACAAATAATCACGAGTGAATGTTAACACGAACTCGGAAAATTTGAGTTTTTATCTTAAATTTCTCTTTGCCCTTGTATGATTAAGAACTAAGAACTGTAGTATTACCCGGTTAATGATCTATCCCGAGTGACGATTTCCACCTTTCTTCACCTCTCTTTCGATCGCCTCGGCGAGATCCTCTGCGTCGTACTCCGCCCCGAAAGATCTGACTACTTCCATGTTGGGATTCATCAAGTACCTAATATATCATCGGGATCACAACATGTTATTCTGTGAATTAAGTTTCAAGAAGTCGAGATTTAGTGGGATTTGAAACTCACATGTTGTCGGAAGATTCAACGAGATAATCACCTCCTTCCTCGTCAACCTTCCTAAAGAACACTCGATATTCTTGAGCCATCTGCCTCACAGCAGTAACACGTCCAGTTAATCCTACTATGCTCGGGTCGATCTCTGGATAAACGTTGGAAACACACGAGATTATGGAGCCATTAAATCATTTCCATTAACACTGCAAAAAAAAAAGTAAAAATCTTACCTCTGATATAAGCACGGAGATGGGAGGGGTTATCACGTTGAGGATCGATCGAGACAAATACGGGAAGAATCTTACAATCTTGCTTCGATCCTTGTTCACGAGGGTAAATAGGAACGGAGAAATTAGAAATTGAACTTAGAAAAGAAAGACAAAGGACCGACCTTGTAACAGTACCTAGTATATTGATCGTCTTAGACATCTTCTGGACTTCGGCTGGCCCAACATCAGGAGACGAAGTATAACCAAAGTAGAGAAGAACCCAATTTCCCAGAAAGTTTTGTTCTGTTACCAATCGGCCATCTGTGCCAATTAAACTGAAAGGGCCACCGATAATCGGCCCTTGAATTGAACTTCTTTCAAACTTCACACCCTGACCTGATCAGACACCAGATTACAAAATGAATAATACTCCGTATCATATTCCATTTTAGAAATCGCCACCATATCAAAAAAGCACCTTTAGGAATTGCCCTCCTTTCATCATTATAATGAAGGAAAAGCACCAATCCACCAAACCCGCCTAGAACAGCTCCAGGCTGCAAAACCAAAATCAAGATGAAAAGAGTTAAGAAAAGAAGAACAAAAACACTTAAACAAAAGAGACAAGAAAAGGGGGTGAAATTAAAGGAACTATACGAGTATATACGATCTCCACGAGGCCGCTACCACGGGAGCACTTCTCTCCACGGGAACATTTCTCCGATCACCTGACCTCATGTAGCAGGTAGAGTGAAACCTCCTGGATTGGCCAGACATACACGATAATCTTATTTCAAAACGAACATAATAAAATTTTCATATTGTCAGCTCTCCTAACAAAAGAAGGACCTTCAATGACTAGCATTAGAATGTTAAGTTCAGACTATCAGAAATATGCATCTTCAAAGAGATAGCAACAAATTCAATATGTAAACTCATGAACCATAAAACTAGACCAATTTTTTCTCATGAACCATAAAACTAGACCAATTTTTTCACCTTAGCTTGACCAAGTAATCAACCCTTCATGCTACTAAAGATGCATATCACCATAAGGGTACACCCAGCCAAGTTGGTCAGGCCGTTGATTTGGTTACAAGTTCGACCCCCAATATAAGTGTTTGATTAATTAGCTTTTTATAACAGCTTATTGCTCCAAAACGCTAAAATTCAAAAGCTACTCAAAGCAGATTTTTCGATTAGCTTTTTGAGAAAGTCATTTTGCATGTAATAAGCTAACAACTAACAGCTAATTTACCAAACATTTTTTAACAATCAGCTAATGCTATTAACTAGTCAAGCTCACTAATCCAATCAGCTATAAGCTATCAGCTATCTACCAAACACCCCCAGAGTTTCAATGCTGTGATTGGTGAGTTGAACTTGCAGCACCTGAAAGTGGAATGAACCTTGAAAACTAACTGAGCAGAGAGCTTAACCAAAGTTCATATAGCCCCTAAAAAGGGAAATGGGCATACAGAACAAAGGAATTGAATCAAAGATCAAATGTCAACTACAAGAATGAAGGGTGTAGTTCTCCATAGATACAACTACAAGCAATACCCAGCAGCCCTAATACATAGAATAGCATTCTGGTCATAATGCATCCATCAATCACCCTAGCAAAATCAAGTTCAGCACAATAAAATTTCAAGATAATCAGCACCAAAACCAGTATGAAATTGCCCAAAATTTCTTGCTGGGTATGCAAGGGACATAAACTTATCTATCTACAGATTCAAAGGGTGTTACCGTTTGAGGAGATTGAAGGAGCCTGCGGGGCGGTTCTTCAAGTAAGACGAGAGGATTCTTGAAGTTCGCATTTTTCTGGCGCTTCTGTAAATCTAAAATTATAAGAGATAAAATTGAGCGCTATATATCATCTTCTCCAGTAGAGAAGAACAGGGTTTATCAGCAGATTAAGGAAGAAATTGAGATTCAGCGCCATGGTTTTTGCTTTCGTTAATTCGTTCTACCCAAGAAATAAAAATAAAAACAAAAAGAGCATGAAACGGTGCCGTTTCCACAAGTTCAAGATATTCCAGTATTCCTAAATATGTCCGGCATGTTCCACCAACGTTGGTAAATTTTGTTGCCATTTGAATGGAATTTTTTCGCCAATAACCTTGTGATTTAGTGGTCCGAAGTGACTTTTTCAGGTGAGAGGTTATGGATTTAAGAATAATAAATTTTTAAATTTAACTTTCAGTTGAAATTATTTATTAACTTTTTTTAAAAAAAACTTTGACATGTTAATTCTAGATAATATAATCATCTTTATGTGATATTTGTCTAATTAGAATCACAAGACGTATTTTATACAATACACACTTTCGAGTAACTTGTACTGGCCACAAGCTTTCTCATAAATCAAAAGAATGAGCTCACATATGGCCCCTCACAAATAAATAGATCTTATACAAAATCATCTCAAGTAAAATTATAATACCTTTTTAGTTAAAAATATATTACATTAAGCAAACTCTTCTTAAATTATACAAAATATGCCATTTATATTTTAAAAAAAAAAAAATCAAACATTTTACCCTTTCGATCACGTCTTTTACAAATTGCAACACATTTTATGTATCTTTGATGGGCTTTGGGCTTAACATTTGATATGGAGACATGTAGAATGATATGTTTTTGGCCATTTGGGCATGTCACATGTTCTTACATAAAATCCCAAGTACCCAAACAGTCTCTTGTGGTTTACAGCTACATGGTTCTCCAATTTAAACCTTTGCATTTCACATCAAATCAGTTTTACTTTGAACTCGTCTAAATCCTTTTAAAAAAATGGTAGGAAAACATTACTTGTACTTCTAAAAGTTACGTATCTTTATCGTTACACGACATGTGTAATGTGTTGGTTAACAGAAAAAAAAAAAAAAAGAGCATACCGCTTTTTAAAATTATGTATCAATAACATGTTAAAGATCAGAGTATAGAGTAAAATAGAAGTATGTGTATTAATTTTTTATTTTTATGTCAAAATGTATGAATGTAAATAGGAGACATTAAACTCCACCATATATAAAGTGAAGGGTAGATAGAAAAGTTTCGAGAAAATGACTGAGTGGGTAAAATATAATTCTCGTACTAAAAGGATATTAGTTTAATTATTGTCAACACCTTCTTAGTCAATAATGAATTGTATAAAATTTAACTTATTTAGATCAATCATATATTCAATTTTTTAAAAAAAATTTCAGATTTAAAAATCAAAACTTGAGTTTGAAAACTAATGAGACCTATTAGTAAAATAGGAACAAAATTGTAATTTAAGGTTTTAAAGCATTCAAGCCTCTATTAACATGTTAATGATTCGCAATATTTTTTTTTTTTTTTTGAAGGGATGATAGAGTGGATAAAATATGATTCTTAATATATACTTAAAAGGTCACGAGTGATGAGACTATTGCGTAGGCTTTTCCTAATATATTTTACCTCTATTATATATTATGGAGTATTATTCAATTCATTTTTTTTTTAAAAAGGTGAATGAAAAACTTTTTGGAATTTGTACTAAATGCAATTGAGACATTATCCCATCATTATCCCGTAACATTTCTCATATATAGAGACAAAAAGAAAATATTATAAAAATTTTAAAATATTATTTGTCTACCTATTTTGACCAGTTAAAAAATAGCTAAAAACAGGTGTCACTGGAAATACTATATTCAACCTTGCTCAAACCAAAGGCCAGCTGTATTGCTGTAATGATCGCATGAAAAATCCATATACTTATTTGGTCGGACATTTGACATTTAAACCTTTTGAATTTTGCATTTTTTTTTTTTGAAAACAAAGGCTTAATATATTAAGACAAATCAAAAAGAAAAGTATTACAGAGGTAGGGTTCGTAAATCACTCTGAACAATCAGACAAAGAAACAGACTGTCTCGCAATCCGATGGGCTACCTGGTTTACATATCGCTTAGTAAACACTAAACTACTATGAGCAAACAAGCTCATTAAGTTCTTGATATCGGTTAATTAGAATCAGATGAAAAGATGACTCTCCTAATAAGCTATGATTGAATTATAACCCTGAACAACCTATAGTGAATCTAACTCAATTATAACCTTGTTGACGTTGATGGATTTGAGCCAGGAGAGGGATTCTCGGATTGCCATTGTTTCAGCCTCCTTAACTCTATAAACCCTTTCCATTGAGAACCTCTGGCAGCCACAAAACGTCCTTGATCATCTCTCAAGACACTACCAAATCCCATAGAAACTGCTTCCTTATTGATTGCGTCGTCTACCTTCAGCTTCATGAATCCCTGATGAGGTTTGATCCATCGATCATGATATGCGCCGTTCGTCTGGCTGTGCTGCTTGTTCGACGTAGCTGCCTTCCAAGCTGTGTACTAATTATCAGTTCTAATGATCAAGCTTCTCACCGATTCCAAGGTTTGATTGTTCCAAAAGATGTTGTTCCTTAGGTTCCATATACTCCAACAAACCATAGAGAGAATGCAGAACGGGGTGAACAAGTGGGTGAAATAATATTCTTATATACGAGTTTAATTCTTGTTAATTATTTTTTAGTCAATTTCGTTGTATATGATTTTTTTTAGTACAATTTACTTCTCATGTATGATTTGTAGGCTATTACACAGAAACAAAATTTATCTAATATAATCATTTTCTGTTTTAAGCTCCACACGGACATGATATGAAAATGATAGTGTTCAATATGTGATGAATGTGACAAAGATAATAAAACTATACAATTCATTAAATAATATTCTAATTATTTTTACTAATAATAATAATAATAATTGTGGTTAAGAGGGGTTCCCGACTTACCGTGCATGCTAAGGTGATGTCTAATCATATGATCATACACATTACATGCAAGAGTAGTGATATCACGCAAGAAAGGAAAAAAGTAGCTTCCATAATTACATCAAATAGTTATGATTAATTAGCTAATAATAATAATGGTTGCGTGTTAACGCAACCACCTACTTGCAATTTTCAGATTGCTTCAATTCCTATCCCATATATATTTTTTCTATTTTTGAATGGTTTTCCAATAATGAAACTCCTATTTTGGGAACAATTAAAGGAATATATATGGTGTATGATTAGAAAAATTATACAGTATTGAATAGTAAAAATGTCGGCTGTTATAAGTAATGTTACAGAAGGCGTTAGCCGCTAGTCGGATGCGTAATTATTATTACTGTATTTTTTTAAAAAAATTTGCTCAAAACGATGTTGTTTTGAGCAGAAAAAACAATTAAAAAAGTTCTGATCGACTCGGAAAAAATAATTAAAAAAGTTCTGATCGACTCGGCCGCCTAGTTGGATGATCGACCATTTAAAAACCGCCTACACCCCTTTTCGCCTCAGCCTAGGAGTGCCTAGCACCTAGACCGATTTTTATAACACTGGTTATAAGTATCAATTATCTTTGATAGACTAGTTCAATTAGTTCTTAAGTACTGCTCCCAACCTCCCATATCGAGAAGTTGACTTCCGAGGTTAACTTCTTATTGTGGAAGTATCACTATCTTGAAGGTCATGTCACAGTTATAAACGTGTCAGGACTGACCTGAGCCACCTATGGACGTTTGTCATGTCTACCTTGTCGTCAGTGAATATTTGACATGTGTTCTTGTCCCAACTCTATAAATAGTACTATAAATAATGTCATATTGTCATGCACTTCCGGCCACGTACGGGCTTTAAAGTGGCTAACATCTTTAGATTTAAGTACATTTCACGACCTAATCAAAACCTTTAAATCTTTTTGTAATTGGAATTGTACTTGGCTTCATTAATATAATCAATAATACCATCTCTTCATCCTGAAAGGCCGGGATGATCAAGCACGTGCATGTAACATATATACTATCATAATTTTTCTAGTCTGATTTTCTTCTGATCTTCTATGTGATTTATAAACTATTAAACACGAACATATCAGAGTTAGTTTATTCGGGTAATATTCCATAGCATCTTACAAGATCCATTCCCTATCTTAATTGTGGCCTAATTGTATACAAATCAAACACCTCCCCACACACCAATAAAACATGCATTTTCGCCGTCCACTTTCTAACCAATGCATCAAACCGCAATACAATCGAATCATCTACCAAAGCTAACACCATACACTGCACGTAGGTAAAGGGGTGGGGGTGTGGGGGGGGGGGGGGGGGTAAAGCATGCACGATACACGCAGAAAATAAGGAACAGAGAAACCACACGAGAGCGGGCTGTGCAGACATAACTTAAAATAGGAAAATTTTGGCTGGCAAGCAGCCATGTTCTATGATTATGATTCCTTTTCTTAAATACTTTTTCGTTTTGGGTGTATCCAGAGTTTTCACTATCGGACATAGTGACTAATCCCTTGCTGAATTGTAGACACATTTTTGGATAAGCTAGTTGATCTGAAAATTTAAAGCTGCTCCATACTCGAAAGTCAAGGATCAAACCCTTTAATACTTTTTCTGTACTAGAGTGCAAAGGATGCCTTCGCCTTCCGGACCCCACACCTTAACTCGATAGAATATTGAAAAGATAAATTTGGGTGAATCAGCTTCCACTTAGGTGGAAAAAGCCCACAACATTAAATATTACACTATGCTTCGACTCTAAGAACATGATCTTGTATATCTTAGAATGCAATCTATATTATCACTCGAATATCAACTGAATTGCCCGTACCAGTAATACTTTTTCTGTGCTAGAAACTAGGATAGATGACACAATAATAGCTGGAAATGAGGTGAAAATTTGCCCATGCTCGCTGCACGCTTTATGTGATGTGTAGTATCAATGAAAATGATGGCCGGACGACACCGGACCAGCTACAACGAACGTACAATCACCCTCTCCATCACTACCTAATATATATATTTGTAATCATATTCCAATACGATAATTATAACATTATAATCAATCATGATTATACCGTCATGATGTATCAATTATA